TTCTTTCTTTCTTTCTTTCTTTCTTTCTTTCTTTCTTTCTTTCTTTCCTTTCTTTTTTTCTCAGTTTTTCAAGACAGGGTTTCTCTGTTTTGCCTTGGCTGTCCTGGACTCACTTTTGTAGACCAGGCTGGCCTTGATCTCACAGAGATCCACCTGCCTCTGCCTCCCCAAGTGCTGGGACTATAGGTGTGAGTCACCATGCCTGGCTTCGAGGTTCCTTTTAAAGACCTCTACTCAGAGAAAGACAGAAAAGAATTTCAGGACCAACCAGTATAAAGCAGGGCTCTAGTACATTAGAATATGAGGAAGAAAGTTCCACATATATTTAAGAATGGGGGTTATAGGTGTTTAGGAGGAGGGTGTGCACCCTTGGGTGTGGGCTGCTCAAGACAGAGATGCCCTTGTCATTACAACAGCCATACATACTGTTCTTCATGGCTTCTGAAGTTGCAGCTCAAAAGGTAGCTAAGAAAACTGTTCTTTTTTGGTAAATGAGATCATAGGGTGGTTCTGATGTGCACTAGCTAGAATTGCAGCTGACACGGCAAAATTCTGGGTCACAAGGGCTATAGGGAACATTAAGCTCTCTTTACTGTAAACAAAGTTTTAGTCTCATTTGCAGAGACTTCCAGAAAATCCCTAGGAAAGGGTAAGAGCAAGCCGTAAGCACCATTCATCCCTATTTTAACATTCCCATTTGAGAACAAATTTTTTTCTGTCTAAAAGGAATACTGTTCTGTCAGTAGCCTTCATGACCAATGTTGTTGATTGTGCTGAAATTCTTGATTCTCAGCTGGCAGGAGTCTTCCACCAGGCTCCAAAGCAAGGGACTTATCTCTCTCTTTCTAGTTACCCGGATTGTTTCCATGCTTTCTATCCTGCTCACGGTACAGGGTGACCTGGGGCTGACTAGGGCAGGAAACCAACACCCCACTCTCTCTATTAGTCCTAATCTCCCCCCACCAGATGAATTGGAGAGAAGTTCTTGAGAAGAGCAGTTATGAGAACTTATGTAATGGCCCAAGAGAAGCCATGAAGAAACAGGTTCTGGGAGTGTCCACATTCTACTAAAATGATGGTGTGTTGAATGATTAGGCTAACTCAGAAAACAATAGGATCACGCTGGGTAGGTGACTGTGGTTTGTGGAGCTGTCTGGCCGGAAGATGGTGATGCAGGCATTTCCAGCTCACAGTGTGTGTTGGGGGTGTTGCAAATGTACACTTTCCCAGCAGCTTTACTAGATGAGGGCCCCAGGGCAACAATGCTGTGCCTACCTCTGATGATCTTCTCTGGACCCAGCCCAAGGGCCCCCTCTGGAGGTAAGAAGAATACCAGGACATGTGGTCAAATCTCAGAGAGCCTAGACCATTTTGGGGAGGCTAACATGATATGCCTAAAAATATGCTCTCATCGGAAAATTTAAGGTGCTTAATCCTTTTTTTCTTTTCCATTTTACTTAGGCACTGGGAAACCATGAATTTGATAACGGTGTGGAAGGACTGATTGATCCCCTCCTCAGAAAGGTCACATTTCCAATTCTGAGTGCAAACATTAAGGCCCGGGAGCCGCTAGCACATCAAATATCCGGACTTTATTTGCCATATAAAGTTATTCCTGTTGGTGATGAGGTTGTGGGGATTGTTGGATACACTTCAAAGGAAACCCCCTTCCTCTCAAATCCAGGTATCTTCTACTCTCCTGGCATTTGTGGCTTGGGAACAGATGTGGAAAAGCAGAGCTTAGCCAGGTTTTTACGGCCTGTGGCACATGAAGGATAGTGATTAGCAAACCAAGGTGGCAGATTCTGTGTTGCTCACAGTTACCTCTGAAGGGCATCACCGTCTCTGCTTGGTGAACTTCTTTGTTGACTAAACAATATCTCTGTTTAATTCTGTGTGTTCAAAATTGTGAGTGAAACCTGGCACAAGCAGCTCCCATAGATCTCTGGCTCCCAATAAAACACAGTTTTCTAGTTCTAGTGGTCGGAGCACATACACATGTACATATATGTACACATGCACTAATTTATTTATTTTAGGTAGGCAATGAAATTCCTCTGTGTGTGTGTATGTGCGTGCGTGCATGCACGTAATACTCCTTGCAGTCTAAAACACATCCCATGCAATCTACATATGTGGTGCCCAGACTTAGGGTATCTCTCAGAACTATTTTGTTGCCTGACTAACCAAAGGAGAGGACGGCAGCATCGTTCCTTTCTGGCCCCCCTCTCCTGGGGACCAGTGTGCCTCACACTGTTCTAGGCACTAGAAACACCAGCTAAGAAGTCTGTATCTCTCTATGCTCACATAGTCAGAGAGAGAATAAGTAAATGCAGCTGTGTCAGAAAGTAGTGAATGAGGTGAAGAGGAATAAGACGGAAGGGAAGGTACTGTGTAGCAGGAGGAGGAGAGCACCTTGCTATTTCAAAGGAATGCCCTGGGGAAGGCTGACAGCTGACGGAAAAGGGGGTTGTGACGGTTAGTGTTAATGGTCAACGTCACAGCAGTCACCTAGGAGACAAGTCCTCAACACTTGTGAGGTATTGTTTTAATTGAGATGGGAAGATCCACTGCAAAGTAAGATGGCTCCATTCCCTAGGATTGGGTCTGAGGCTGCATGAACAGCAAAGGAAGCATCTACCTGAGCACAAGCATTCATCACTCCATGCTTTCTAACTGGCTCAAGGTCCTGCTACCCCACAGTTCAGGGACTGTACCCTCAAAGTGTGAGCCAACCTAAGCCCTTTCTCCTGTAAGTTGTTTTTGTCAGGGTTTTTTATCAGAGCATCAGGAAAAGACACTGAGGACTGTCCGGGGAGCCCCAAGCTTGGGGACAAGAATCTCGTCCTTGATATTCCCATGATAGACCATGATAGCAGAGCATTGCCACTCTTGATGTTTTCAGTGCCGCCTTGAGCTCTGCTAGGGAGCTGCTAACTTCCCAGCCATCCGTCTGGAGCCTCCTTGGCCACAGTGCTGCCATGCTGTGATTTATCATCCATACTTCGCACATATGGAGCTGGCATGTAGTCAGGAGTCACGTCAGGGAAATGAAGTCCTGAGCATGGCAATGGACAAGGGCAGGTTTTATTAGTAGTTCTGCTGGTGTTTGAAGAAACTCTTGCTATTCACACTTGGAAGACATACATTTTATGAGATTTTTGCATTTGGGACACCTTCATTTTAGTGCTGGTTTTTAGAAATTAGCATGAGAGCATCAAGATTAACTAGAGGACTGCCTTGCTGTGGGGTTCTGGGTGTGACTTCAGGAAAGCATGCTTGCAGCTCCTTCATGACCACTGAAGCTGTTAAGACCTAAGGACTTGCTAAACTTTGGCTACAGGCTGGGAGACCCGGTTCATGTCTCAGCATAGGAACACCCAGGTTATGCAACCAGAGTCCGAGGCGCTCATTATTAACACTGAGTGGTATCGTGCACTCCTTGAGCTATGTACTCCTTCCCTGGGCCAGCAAGGTTTAGATGAGGTCTCAGTGTAATAAAGCACTCAGTTCTAATGTAGCCACTCCCTTATCATCTACCATGCTAAAATTAGTTTTCAGGAGCCAGCAAGATAGCTCTGTGGGTCAGGGCACCAGCCACCACTCCGGACACCTAGAATTTGATCCCTGGAACCCTCGTGGTAGAAGGAGAGATCTGACACCCACAAGTATGCCAGAGCACACACAAATCAAAATAAATAAATGTAGAAAGAGCCACTGTTTGAAACTGGCTTTCAAAGCCTACTTGTCGACATTTTAGGTTTGAAGACGGAATCCACCAAGTTTCCAGACAAAGCAATGGAATTAGAAGCAGTTGTGGGTACCATACTTTTATGCTCTGGCACTTTTTAAATGGTTATAGTGAGGGTCTAAATATGAAAGGAGATGGAAACATACCTGAAGTCTCTTCTCAGTTTGAGACTGAGTTTATGCAAATACATCATATATGACCAATGAGGTGATTCAGTAGATGAAGGTGCTTACCACCTAGCCTGATGTCCTGAGTTTGATCCCCTGGACCCACATGGTAGACGAAGAGAACCAACTCTTGAAAATTGTCCTCTAACCTCCACGTGTGCACACAAAAATAGAGGTTAAAAATGTATATATAAAAACATACATATGTATACCCACATAAACATACATGGCCAAATGTAATATTAGGTAAATGCAACCCAGGACATTGATTTAAATTCTTCTTGCCTGCTAGGGCTTCTGTTCCTAATGTATTCCTATTTTGCTCTTAGTAATGGAAGTGCTTCAATAAGAAATTATTATGCTTCGTGTGTCATTATATAAGCAGCACAGCAAAATTACTTTAATGTCCATTTTATTAATTTTCTTCTTTAGGGGCAAATTTGGTCTTTGAGGATGAAATCACTGCCCTGCAGCCTGAAGTAGATAAACTAAAAACCCTAAATGTGAACAAGATCATTGCACTGGGACACTCCGGCTTTGAAATGGATAAACTCATTGCTCAGAAAGTGCGAGGCGTGGACGTCGTGGTGGGGGGGCACACCAACACCTTTCTTTACACAGGTAACGGTTTCAAATGCACTCTGCGGGTGAGGACACTCAGACTGCTCGCTTTCTCTCTTTACCTTGGTAACTATTGAGCATGTGATTCAGAATGTGTAAGCTGTAATAATGAGGCCAGGTAATCTTACTGGGAGACATCCTAAGAATTCATTCATTTCATGATGAAAAGTCAATGCTACAAGCATAGAGCACACTTACTAAAATGAAACATTACTGATCCCCAAGCCAAAGGTCAGTCTATGATAGGATTTCTGAAAGATAAATATTTTTTTAAAATGTTTTCGGAGGTTATTAGATCTGAACCCAGGGCTTTCTGTATTTTTTTTTTTTTTAATTTGGGCTTTCGGTATTTGAAGCATCTATATCCCCAGCTTTTGGTTTTCCAAGACAGAGTTTTACTGTCTAGCCCAGATTAGCCCCAATCTTGTGATTCTTTTGCTTCTGCCTCTCATGAGAGTGGTAGGATTATAGGCACGCACCACTGTATCTGGCTTGGAAAGTTGATTATTATTATTGTTGTTGTCATCGTCGTCATCACTATTATTGCCTTCATCGAACTTCTTAGCATTTTAAATGCTAAATACGTGTTATGTTTGGAATCAGAAAAAGAGGTACAGTACAAATTATAGAAAGAAAAGAAATACAATATTAGGTCAAGAGCCTTCACTTCTAACTCATTTGAGTGACCCTGTACAGACAGGTCACCTGACCCCTTTAGACACATTGCCTTCCTAATGAGGAGTCTATCACAGTTTTGAAGATTAAAAGTCTACCACAGTTTTGAAGATTCACTAGTTTGGCCTCAGTTGATCATCCTCTCTTGGCTATTCATGGCATCACAACACAACATGGCAGAGAATGAGGAGGGGAAATGGACATATGCAGGAAGGTCAAGCCTCCTTTCACAACCACTCTCTCTCATAGAACTGTGATCTCAAGAGAACTACATTCATCTCCTCTGAGGGTGATGGCTCCAATGAACTCACCACCTCAAGTTAGACACTTTTTGAAGGTTCCACTGACCCTCAATGTCACCACAGGGAGGACCAGTAAGCTGCTAGCACACAAACACAGCAGTTTCCAGTAGGTCCTTATCCTTGCCTGCTCGTATTTCAATTCTATGCCAGCCCTGTCAATGTGACCTGTTCAAATACTGGGGATCTTTGTAGCTTTTCTCCAAGGCAGCATTAGAAGTCTGTAACTCACAGTGGGAGCAAGTTGGTTTTCCAGCCACTTCATCCTTTATGGGTTTTGACTGTGATCCATGGTGAGCATGACATTTTATAGGAGGATTTAATAGGTACGTGTACAAACGTGTGTGCACTCTCACAGATATGTATAAAGTAAACTGAAATTTCCCAAAGCACCCAGAATATCCTGCCTTTTCAGTTGTTCTACTATTTCTTTTATTATTGTTTTGTTTCTTTTTTCATGTTTTGTTTTGTTTTTATTGAGACAGAGTCTCACTATGTAGTCCTGGCTGTCAAGCAATATTTTGTGTTGACTAGGCTAACTTTGACTTTAAGATATCCCTTCTTATAGTATGACACAGCACTAATGGCCATGTATACATGTGTGTGTGTGTGTTTCCATACATACATACATACATATATATATATATATATATACATACACAAACTTTTTTAAATAATTATTTATTATTTATTATAATTTAGTCACTTTGTATCCCAGATGTAACCCCTTCCTTCATCTCCTCCCAGTCCCACCCACCTTCCCTCTTCTCCCCCTATGCCTCTCCCCTAGTACACTGATATGGGAGGTTTTCCTCCCCTTCTATCTGACCCTAGCCTATCAGGTATCATCAGGACCAGCTGCATACCTACTAAAATATATAGTACTAAAGAGGCTAAACAACAAGGAGGACCCTAGGGAAGATGCTCAATCCTCATTCAGAAGGGCAAATGGGATAGACATCAGAAGCAGGAGAAGATAGGAACCAGGACAGGAGCCTACCACAGAGGACCTCTGAAAGACTCTACCCAGCAAGGTATTAAAGCAGATGCTGAAACTCATAGCCAAACTTTGGGCAGAGTGCAGGGAATCTTATGGAAGAAGGGAGTGATAGAAAGACCTGGAGGGGACAGGAGCTCCACAAGGGGGCCATCACACAAACTTTAAATGGTGCATGTCATTTTAAAACAAAATCTCAATCATTTCAATTTTACCAAAAAAAGACTCAAGAACCAGATGCAGGGGTGAATGCCTGCTTGCTCAGAGAGGCAGAGAAATCACCCAGCTGACCTCCTCAGCCAATGTCCCAAAGGAAAAGGACACCTCCTTTTCCATGCCATCTCAAAAAATCCTCAAAACTGAACCTTTCTCCCTTCTACTTCCTCTGCATCTCCCTATCTGTCTGTCCTCCTGACTTCCTCTTATTATTTATGGTTTTTTTCCTATGTTCACTTCTTGTCAACTGGTTGCTTGCTCTGCCTCTTGACCTAGGGCTAACTTTATTTAATCCTGTTTACAATACTCAAGCTAAAGCTCTTGGATTGAAGGTGTGTGCTAGGGCTGAACCACACCACAACTAGAAGCACTTTTTTCCAGTAAATAACAGAATCTCAGGGGTCACAGTGTGATCATATATCCTGCAACAGGTGCATGACCAGGCTAGGACATAAACAGTTCAAGAAGTGCTACCCCTAGATGCTGCAATCATTCCCCTGTGTCACTTTGGTGTATCTTAACACCATCTTGATCTCTGACACCGTATGGCATCATCTGGACCCCCATAGGCTAAGCTGTGTGGTTATTGATTGGGCTCCTTGGGCAGGAATGCTGGTTATACTTTTGCTCTTACAACTGTTGCTATCAAAGTCCTGCAACATAGGATGAGAGATCTAAGGATAAGCTGTAGCTTGCTTATCTGTAACTCCTGAATAGAGTGTTCCGTTCTCATAAACTCTGACCTGACTCTTAGTTGTTTATTTCACATTTTTTAAATAGATTACCAAGATTAAATCTGTTCTCACGAAATATAATTTGGCTCTCTTTTAAGGACTAAATTTAGCAATTAGAAGACATAATAGGAGATGAGGCTTACTCACATATTCAGACAATTTTTTCCAATCTTAGAAAAAATATTTTTCAGGCAGACAAAATAACTTAGCAGATAAAGGTACTTGATGTACAAGCCTGGAGACCAGAGTTTGATCCCCAGAACTCACATAATGGAAAAGAGAGAAAGGAAGGAAACTGAATCTTGAAAGTAGTACTCTGACCTCATATGTGCCATGGCATATTCTCATGTTTCTCTCTCTCTCTTTCACTCTCTCTCTCTCACGCACACACACACACACGAAGGAATATAGTAAAAAGAATATAGCCTGTGGAAGTTTAGATCCTTTCGTGTTTTGAGCCCAGCTCTCACTGTAGCCCAGGCTGATCCGGAACTTACTGTGTCCAGGCTAGCCTTGAATTCATGGCAGTCTTTCTACGTTAGCCTCCCAAGTACTAGGGTTAGAGACATGAGCCACCATGTCCAGCTGGAAATCACAAAACATTCCCAAAGTGCCTGAATAGCACCCTGATACTTTCTGCTCCTTTAGTTAACCTTTTGTGCTTGTTACTCCCCACTAAATTAGTTTCCTTTTTTTTTTCTTTTTTCTTTTTAATATATAGCCCACATTCTAAAAACCTCCAAGTTAAATGAATCATGACTAACAGGGTACACATTAATGCTTCCAATGGAGAAACCCTATCCTGGTTGCATGCATACTGGCCTGGAACTTGCTAGGCAGCCAAGAATGACCTTAAACTTTTGGTCCTCATGCTTCTGCCTCCCTGAATGCTGGGATTAGAGGATGTGCCACCACATCCAGTTTTATGCCATGCTTGGACTCAAGCCCAAGGTTTTTGTGCAATTTTAGTAGGTACTGTGCAAACTGTATCACATGTCTCTCCCAGCAGCCATTGTTCATCTCTCTGTTATGTACTTTCTCAGCAAGGCCTCTGAAATTTTTTCTACTCATGACCCTTCTTTGCTCAGGATATTTTTTTTAAAGATTTATTTATTTTAAGTATATGATCACTTTTTTCCATGCACAGCAGAAGAGGGAATCAGGTTCCATTACAGACGGGTGAAAGCCAGCATGTGGTTGCTGGGAATTGAACTCAGGTCTTCTGGAAGAACAGTCAGTGCTCTTAACCACTGAACCATCTCTCCAGGATATAAATATATCCTGCTCAGGATATTTTTATGTGACCCCTGGGTATATGAATATATAAAATTAGGCATAAATGTCAAAAACTTACCGATAATATATAAAAAGAAAATGATTCTTATTTTTTAAATTTATTATTGTGCGTGTGCATATGATGCGTGCATTTGTGAGTATTAGCATATGTGGTGGTCAGAGAACAAACCTGGGGAGTTGGTTCTCTCTTTCTACTGTAGGTTTCTGGGATAGAGCTTGGGCTTTTACCCCCAAGCTCTTTTTACCCACGGAGCCATTTCACCAATGCAAGAAACTTATTTTAAAGTAATTCTTCAGTATGCATGCATTTCACTAAAGACAAAAGCAAATGTACGTTGAAATAACGGACCTGCTTATTTTTATGTAGAGATTTAAAATACTGGCTGGATATTTGGTACTTCAGCATCTTCAGTGTTTTTTTTTTTTTTTCAGAGTTGATCAGCATTTTGATTTTATAATGATCATTCTGAAAATGCCACTTTGCATAAATACATAAGTACAGAATGGCAGAAGTATGTTTAGAGCTATTTCAGAAATTAATTGTTTGGAAATTCTGTCCTAACCAAGATTAACTTAATGTTTTCTATGAAATGCAAGCCAGGAATTCAAACTTTTTTTTTTTCTCAAACATATTCTGATGCAATAAACTCCCAAGGATGAACTAGTTTGTTCTTTATATGCTGAGAATGGTGGCAGGAATATATTAACAACTCTTTGTTTTATGTAACAAAGTCATGTTTTTATAAGGGCAGAAAGCTTTGCATGGACAGTATCAACAGAGCAGTTTACAGCAAGTAATAGCCTCAAGTCTGAGCCTCAGGTACCGTCCATTGGTACTGTCCAGTGTGATCACATGTTCAGTGCAAAGGTTACATATGTGTGCAGAATCAAGGCTACAGTGAAGTTCGAGATGCAGTGCAGGTAATCATTCCCAGACAGAAATTCATCCTCTTTTGAATTGATTTTGAATTGATTTTTGGTCATTGTATGTTCAGAAACCTTTTACTGTTGACCAATTTTTCATGACCCTCCCTTGCAGTCACACCGCCTCATATGGGGTCATGACCCACAGTTTGAGAAGCTGGGTCTTAAGCCAGATGTGGTGGCACAGGCCTGCAAAACAGGCACTTGGGAGCAGGAGGATTAGAAGTATGAGGTCATCTTCCTTTGCACAGAATGTTTAAGACCAGCCTGCGCTATATGAGACCACATCTCAAAAACAAAACAAAACAGGGCCAAGTGTAGTGATATATGATTTTAATCCCAGCACTTAGGAAGCAGAAGCAGGCAGATCTCTGAGTTTCAGGCCAGCCTGGTCTACATAGTGAGGCCCAGAGGCCCAGACCAACAAGGAATATACAGTGAGACTGCTAACCCTGCCTCCCAACACACACACACACACACACACACACACACACACACACACACACACCAACAACAACAGAAGAATAATCTTGCCTTTCCAAAACAACATTTGTCACATGCACAGGACGGAGAAACATTCTCCAAGTAACTGTTTCCAGACACTTGATAAGAACTAGTGACATCCAGGGTTTACTATGTGCACTGGATAATCAACCAAAGGGCAAAGGTCTGACCAGTGGCCTTGGCAGTGATCTCTCTGGGTGTTTCTTGGTTCAGCACAGGGACCTTCCTCATTCCAGTGATCACTCACTCACATCCTTTTAGATAGCCTCTGCCTGGCCCAGCTTCTGCACCCGCTTCCTTTTGAGCAAAGCCACATTATTTTGCAAGAATACAGCAGTGGTCAATGACTGTAAAAAAAATGGCAGTCGGGATCCAGCCCCAAGCAGGGTTGTTAAAAAGGAAAAGTTGATCAACTCCTGAGAACTCCCAGGCCCTACTGCCCTGAGAACTGAGTACTTCACAACAACGGAAGTTTGTGCCTCCTTAGCTCTGCCGTTGGGAGTCTTACATGGAGGTTTTCATTTTTCTTTCACTGGAACTATGGGTTGGGATTGTGGAAAGAGCATGATACTCTTACAGGCTCAGTTTGTTCCCTGCCTGACTATTTACATCAGCTCTTTGAACCCAAACTTTAGCAAAAAGTGGTGATAGTGTTGTAGCTTCCTCAAAAAAAGTCATAGGATTAGAAATACACGTCCAAGAAAAATACCCTAGCTTTCTGTTCTGAGAATATGTCTCCTACACTCCCTATATATGTGAACATGGTCCTGAGTCTCTGGAGAACACTGACTAATACAGAATTTTAATAAACAAAGTGGTTTCTTCCTAACATATGCTGCCACCAATTTCTCCCCCTACCCACCCGCTGCTACTCATAAAAATATTTTCTTTAAGTTTTCAGAATTTTGAAAATGGAAAGTCAATAGATTTGTTCTTCTTTTCCCAAATATTCTACAATGTTGCATTTATTTATACAATAAACCTTTCCAAGAACTTGCTGTATTATACAAACTTAACCATTAATCTTAAGCTTGAGATACTATGTTACTCTTCTGTCTTAAAAATTCTCCAAGTGTGTCTGAGGGTTGCCCCGACCCCAAGTGGAATCATACACTCTGTGACTGAGGACAGCACTCTGCTGAGGTCTCTTCCGGTACTTGCAAAGTACTGAGCAGTGCAGGGTTTATCTCGTCCACGTGTGCACCCAGAGCACCATGGTCACTCAGGCTGAGTCCTGTCTCAGTAACTGGAACACAGTCTATAGACACTTCCTCTCCTACCAACATGGTAAGCCACATACCTAAAAGACGAAGGTGTGGCTTCATGTGGAGACAATATTTGAAGTGTTAGAACCTTTGGCTGAGCCACTGGGGTGTAGCTCAGTGGTAGTGTTTATCTAGCACACACCAAGCCCTGGATTTGACCTCCAGCACTGCAAAAAGTAATAAACGTTTTATGCCGTTGGCTGAATAGCTTGGAACAGTGTGGAAAATTTGAAGTCCTGGATTGTTTTTCCTGCCAGGTGGTTTTCTAGAGTTGCTAAATGCGTGAAGGAGTAAAGACGGCTCAGCCTTGGTGGAGGCAGAGATTAGCTAGCCAGATCTGATATTACCTCAGCCACAAAGGAAGCCGCCTTGCCTTTCCTGACTAAGTCTGCATGAGATAACCTTGACATATCTTTTGTTCTCAAAGAACATCAAGGCTCTTCTGACTAGAGAGTAGGTGCTCCCTGCCAAAGGGGTGCTGGTTTTGCAGAGTGCATGCTGAGCTAATGAAGCATTTGATAGGACTGTCAGGTTCCCAACTTTTAACATTCTGTTTATGCTATCACCATGGAAGGAAAACTAAAACAAAAACCCAAGGCTAGAAGTCTGGCTTTAATTTCTAAGAAACTGCAGGATGACTGATATCTGCAATTTGGATTGCAGATTTTTGCAATTTCTGCAATCCCTCTTCCACTTGGATGGGATATTCTCTGCCACAGTGTGGACATTTAGGGGAATTGCAGCTTTCCAAACATTGCCCAGAAGAGGAAGCCTTGGCAAGGTGAGAAGAGGTTGCCCTAACTACCTAGGCCCCTGCAGTGAAGGGCAGGATCTCTCCTTCCCCAGAGGAGCACAGAATAAGAAGAGGATTAGATTAGCAGAGTTCCTTCTCCCTGTTATTCTACAATGTCTTAGATCATCTGCAGGGCATTGGCACTGGAAGCAGTTGTGTAATGCTATTTGTTGTGCTTGTGTCCTGCACTAGTTCTGGCTCTGGAAACTGACAGGGGCAGGGAGTAGGTTCTTCACAGCATGCCACCTTGGCTTTCCTTAGGCATATAAAAAGACTCTGAAAGAGCAATGATAGTCAGTCTTTTCATCTGTAAAGTACAGCTAATAATGTGACCTGCCTCCTGGGAAGCTTGGAGAACTAAATGAAATTAGTTACAGCCACTTCTTAGACCTGATTCATGTGTGAGATGAACATGTGCTGAAGTTCTCTGGACTTTGTAAACATCCAATAGGAGGGACTAGTCATGTGTTCAGTGGGTAATAGGAACACAGTGGACCAAGAGTATCAATTATATAATCTGATTCCAACCAAAAACTATGTCACTTCCACTGAAATTCAGTCTGAATCATGAATCCTGTAATGGAACATCACTGCAATCCCAGCATTTATGTGAGAGGCTGAAACAGGAGGATTATAAGGTCGAAGCCAGCTTGGAACTGCACATTGTCTTTGAGGCAATGTCTCAAAAGATCAAAACAAATGAAGCACAGCATACATCAAGAAAGAGTGAGGTTAACTGAAACACACAAGGCCAGGAAGATGGCTCAGCAGGTAAAGGGGCCTGCAGCCAAGCCTGAGAACCTGAGTTTGATTCCTGGGACCTAATCACATTACCTCCCCACACATAATGAAAATGTAAAAACTAAATTCAGGTTCCTGGAGGAAATAAAACATGTCAAGTGACGAGATGCTGTGCACCATGCCTCTTCTGTGGCCACACTCACCCTCAGGCAAGGAGGCCTCTGTGTGATGAATGGCTCCCAAGTTCTTCCTGTGCCCCATGAGATAAAGGCCTGCAAAACCTGACTGATGTGAAGAATTGAGGAAATAGTATGTTTGCTTGTTGGTCCCTAGGGTGAATGTGGTTGATCCAAAGCACCCTAAGGACAGCTCTGTCATTTCTCCTCAGTCCTCATGTATGTGTGCAGGGTTTCTAGAGAATGTCTTCATCTTATAAGAGAAAGAGGCATACATTAAAATAATATACCTACTGTGACTGGCAGGCACACCCTGAGGAACTTAAGACACTGAGGTGTTTTTACAACCCTGTATAATGAATATTCACCTCTTGGGGTTTCCTTCCTACTATGCTTGACAGGCATTGTAGTATGTATCTATAATCCCAGCCTTGGGAAACAGAGGCAGGGGGGTTTTACAGAGAAACTGAAGTACATCAAAATGGCTTGGATAATTCATTCAGAAAGAGGAACAGAGACAGAGTCTGCATGAAAGAGGGATAATCTTAGCAGTGTTCTATTTTTGTCTGACCCACCAGATCACCAGGCAAATGCCCCAGACTTACAAACAGCTTAGTAAATGTCTACTGAGTGGAGAATGGCAGGATTTGTACACTAAAAGAGCATTTGAAATCGGTAACAAATGTCTAACAGGGCTCTGAAAGACCAGCAATGTACAACAGCAGATGGTGAATCATCAAGTCAAAATTCACTGTCATTCAGCCAGTGGCTTGCCACATGCAAAGGCTGATCTCCTGATCAGTGCTGTCTCTTTTATTTCAGGAACTCCACCTTCCAACGAAGTGCCTGCTGGGAAGTATCCATTCATAGTCACCTCTGATGATGGGCGGAAGGTTCCTGTGGTCCAGGCCTATGCTTTTGGCAAATACTTAGGCTATCTGAAGGTTGAGTTTGATGATAAAGGAAATGTCATCAGTTCATATGGAAATCCCATTCTTCTGAACAGCAGTATTCCTGAAGGTGAGATCTGGGGAGAGTCTACCACATGAAAAGTTATACAGTGGCAAGATCTTCTATCCTCTTCTTTCTTTTGTTTTGTTTCAAGAAATGACTGTAATACTTGTGAATATTTAGCTTTTCCCTTGTATTTACTCACTTTATTCATAAGGAAATCTCAAATTCCCAAATCCTTACATGCTTTTCCAAGTCTGCTCAGTGCACTACTGACCCTAAGCTTAATCCTGTGAGGCAAAAGCCACTGTCAGCTCTTATCTAGAGAGTAGCCAACCAAAGAAGAGCAATTCCAATAGGTCAGAGCAGCACTCAAAATCTGGCCCACCTAACAAGAGGCAGTAACAGGGTGGCGTGGACCTCAGCCTCTTCATTCATTAAATACCTCCTCTTTCTGTTTTGTTTGTGCTTTTAGAAAGCCTCTCCATATATAGCCCATGCTGGGGTTATTGTGTACCGCCATACTTACCAAGAAGTACCTCCATTTTTGAGACTCAAAATAAAAGAATATTTTATGCCATTCATTTTCATAGTGTACACATAGACCCAATGCCATGAGTCCTTCTACCAGCCCTTTGATATTTACCATCAACATCTCAGAAGGATGGGTGTGAAGTGGATGGACTTGCATGGTTGTGACATAGGCTTTTCAGCAGCTGGAGAGGAAACAATCTGGGAAACACATCCTCAGCAGATCCTCTCTACTTATCTAGCCTTTCAAAGCTCATGGCACCACCATGGTGTCATCCTACACGGGCTGACAGGGGCTCACCCAGATGTTGAGCTGATGCTAGGATGTTCAAAACACCCTTGAAGTGAGATACACCCAGGTATTAATGTTAGACTACAAGGTAAACATCCCTAAGGAATTTCATAGCCAAAACCAAAGTGCACAAATATGGTAAAGGCATACGCCCAGCAGGGAGGCCTGACAATATTTAATTTCTCTAGAACTTACCCAGGAGGAGATCTGCTTTAACTACAGACCTTTCCCTTCACTTGTGCCTTTCTGATATCCTTCCTTCCTTTCCTTCTAGATGCAACCATCAAAGCAGACATTAACCAATGGAGGATAAAGTTAGATAACTATTCTACCCAGGAACTGGGAAGAACAATAGTCTACCTGGATGGCTCCACTCAGACTTGCCGCTTCAGAGAATGCAACATGGGCAACCTGATCTGCGATGCTATGGTGAGCTGTCTGCTGGGGCAGAGCAGCTACGTGTAGGGAGGGAGGAAAGGAAGATGCTGGGGTTTTTGATACATTCATACCCAGAAAGAAGCTTGACTGGTTTCATACCGAATGCCTTGACAAGGAGGCGCAAAGAGATTAGGAGAGAGAGTATCACTTTATTGCTTACAAGGACTAAAACTTTTTAAAATGTCTTTCTTCGATGTCTAAATTTGGGGTATTTCTTTCTGTAAGATGACCTGAAGACAGGAAATGCCCCCCTTCCTTCAACCAGATGTTGACATAGTACATCAAGCACATCTGCTAGAATCTGTCTTGGCAGGGCAGGCTTTCCCTGGTTTGTCCTCTTGGCTGTAAAGAACACGAGCTTCATGTAGCTTGCACGTCTTTCCCAAGCTAGAATGACAATACATAGCTGTGGTAAAGTCCCTGGCTAGAGCAAGAACATTCATGAAAAGCATTTTTCCAGGGCCAACTGCCAAAGTGGCTTTGTGACTGTGCCAAGCCAAGGTCTCTACGGCAAACTGTTGTTCCTATGGGCTCACCCATGGGGAGCCTGTCAGTATATCCTGCTGGTGTCAGTTTGTTACACAACCACACTCCACAAACTCTGACCAAGTGAGTGACAGCATAAATGCCCTCCAACATGAGCACCATGAAATCAGAATGAGAACCACCAGACAGAACCATCTAGAGAAAAATCTAGAAAGAAACACCCCAGGGTGCTACCCTATCAAGAGGCTGGGGTAAATATAATTTTTACTTTTCATGCTTGTTTTAAAATTAGAATGCATACATTTTGGGGCAGGAGCATTGCCTCAGAACTTAAGAATGCTTGAATCTACATTCAATTCTCAGCACCCATACAGTGGCTAACTATAACTCAGTCCCAGGGGACCTGGTGCCCTCTTTTGACCACCACAGGCACATATGTGGTGCACATATATACATGCAAGCAAAACACTGTCATTTTTAAAATGAAAGGTTTAAGGCTAAGTGAAGTGGTGCATGTTTTAATCCCAACATTCAGAAAGCAGAGGCAAGTGGATTTCTCCAAGTTTGAGGCCAGTCTGGTTTATATAACAAGTCTAGGACAGGAAGAGCTACATATTGAGACCCTGTCTCAAAAGCAAGTGTGTGTTTCATAAAAGAAACGTAACAATGAGCCTGATTCTCCCTTGCTTCAGGAGGCCATCCCTATGCCTCAAAGATTGCAATTTGGGGGAACTGCTTGGCATAAGGTAGGTGATGGGTAGCCTGGACCATCCTACTTCCCTGAAGGAGCAGCTTCACAGAGCAATCCTCCCAGTCCTCCCTGGAGCAATCTTGACACCAGCTGGAGAGAGCATTCTGCTATGTTCCCTAGCCTGGGGGATAGGATTGATGAGTGGGTAAAGAGCCCCCTGTCCTAAAGTGAAAGTGGGGCTGGTCAAAATAGACTTTAGCTTCTGACTGATTGACGGCTAATAGAAGATAGGCTAACAATTGTTTTATGATTAATAATGTACAGTTTTGGTTTCAGTTGCAAAATCTTTGGGGACACAGGAATGGGGGAATGAATACTTTGTTTTCTCAGTAGAGATAACCAGATTTCTGAAACTGATAGAAGACCCTAAGTAACTACATTTCTACTACTGTTGCAGATTAACAACAACCTCAGGCACCCAGATGAAATGTTCTGGAACCACGTGTCCATGTGCATTTTAAATGGAGGTAGCATCCGATCCCCCATTGATGAGAAGAACAATGGTATGCTCCTGGGCCCAGCTTCCTTAGCTGCCCATGTTGTCTCTTCCCTGACTGTGCCCACAGCACCCTCTGCTGCCAGCCACAAATACTGGTCCTTTGAGTTTGCATTAGCTGTTACTCAGTGCTTCGCCAAAGGGATACACAGGCATTCTCATATGTATTCACACAGATGTAGGCACCAAGCTTAGTAAGACCTACACTTGGTCTAAATTTCTGGCATCTAAAGCTATTAACTGTTGCAGTTTTATAAAGAGTATTGAACATTTTTACATCTGGAAAGAGAAAGACCAAAACACTAATCTGTGTTTACAGATGCCCAATGTCCCACCATCCATTAAAACAAGCCCACTAGACAGATACTGATGGCTCTGTTGCAGCCTTTGCTGGCATACTGTCAAACCCCATCAGTATAAGGCCCCAAGCTCATTTCAGACACTAGGGTAGGTGGCTAGAATACACTGCCTGTGTAGAACTGTGCAATGCTTAACCAACTACTCAAGATCCAGCCCAAACTAGGCGATGCAAGGCTGAAAACTGTGGACTTGGTGTCAAGCTCAACCCCCTTACCCAGTGGTGGATCCTTCAGGACATTCTTTCCCAAAGTTAAATACAGCTGCTGTGACTTCCCTCCTGCCTCTCCTTTGCTCAGCCTAAAGGAGCTGCTCTCAGGGTAAGCATCTTCTGAAGCTTGTTTTCTTTCCTGCTTCACTTCTACTAAGGCACAATCACCTGGGAGAACCTGGCTGCCGTGATGCCCTTTGGAGGGACATTTGACCTGGTCCAAATAAAAGGTTCCACCCTGAAGAAGGCTTTTGAGCACAGTGTGCATCGCTATGGCCAGTCCACTGGGGAGTTCCTGCAAGTGGGTGGTAAGTGACACTCCATGCAGGGCACATTGTCCAGTGAGATGTGAGTTTTCCTGGCTGGCTCAGCTCCCAACTCACCACTTCTGTGACTGGGCTTGTTTGGATTTTTTCCCAGGTGACCCCCATCTTTCAATGACTGTGGACTCCTGGAGTCACTGAGGTTAGGTTGAGGTCAAAAGTCCCAGCCCTTGGCAATGAGTAGTATTTGCCAACCTTGATTTGGACATCAGAAAGGGCATCCATGGGAGCTGACCTCCTAAACACTAATCAGATCATCTGACATGAGGTCTTTCAGTGGAATCTTACTTGCGGATGCAGGTAACATTCTTAAAAACAGAAGCTCTTTCCATTATTGTTAACTGCCTGGGCGTATATTAGGGTACAAAGGAACTAAGGGAAAGAAAACAAACAAACAAAACACAGTCTGCTCTAATCCTGCTGGGAGGAAGGCTGCTTCATTTTCATTTTTGCTCATGGAATTACATGATGGGTATTGCTGTCTGGTAGGAGACCCTCGCCTGGTGTCTGCGGGGTAACCCTGACATAAAACATTTTTCCAAGGCAGAGCCAAAGACCCATGGTGTTGTGATACTCTAGCAAAGTTCTGAGTGCAAATATTTGTGCAAGTCACCAAATCCAAAATTACAACATTCAGTCTTCAAAGCTGTTGCAAATGTTCCATTGCATTTCCTAATGATGCACACCTAATTTTCCAAACCCAGTGAGTCATCACTGGACCAATAAATTCAGGCTTATAAAGAGGAAGAATACTGGGATTTCTCCCAGAAAAATCACACTTGCCTTTCTGAGGGTCAATTCTCCTTCCAGTGGTTCTCCAATGTACTGGAGGACTCAAAGATGGCACTGATGGTAGCTGCACCATCACCAACATTCATTCCCCTGATGAAAGTTCACTCACACAGTAACTGAAGTGGCACAGCTTAGTATCCCAATTTTAGATCTTCACCAAAATCCCTTTCATAGGCAAAATTCCCTTTGGATTCAACAAAACCATGGACTCATTTCTCTTCTAGGAATCCATGTGGTGTACGATATTTCCCGAAAACCTGGGAACAGAGTGGTGCAACTAGAGGTTCTTTGCACCAAGTGCCGAGTGCCCATTTATGAGCCTCTGGAAATGGATAAAGTGTATAAAGTGACCCTCCCAAGCTATCTGGTCAGTGGTGGAGATGGATTCCAGATGATAAAGGATGAATTATTAAAACATGACTCTGGTAAGCAAGAGTTTCTCTTCTCCTGTTCCCAAAGGTATTCAGCACAATAGCACTATGCAAAGAAGACAGAAAAGAGTCTATGCCTTTGTTGCTGATCCCATCCTGCTTTGGGGTGCTAACAACAGCACAGCACTGAAGAACATTATACTGTCCCTTCCCCAACATACACGATCCCATCTAGCCAACCCCAGAGAAGACATACTTTGTTAGAGACAGGGTCTTTCTAGGCAGTCATGGCTCGCCTGGGGCTTGCTCTGCTGACCAGGCTAGCCTTCCAAGCACTGACCAGGCTGCTTTCCAAGCACTGGAATTAAAGGTGTGTGCTGTCACACCTGGCCCATAATTTTTTTTTTTACAGTAAATTACTATGTATTAATAGCACTAGGTATTAAAGAGCTTCAATTAAAGCATCTACCTGTTGTGATGATGATGATGATATTCTTTGGGTCATCATGGGTTTGTCTAAGCAAGTCTTATTTCTTTATCTGTCCTCTTCTGGAAATGAAACCTCCAATTCCCATCATCAAGTATGTGAAGATAATGTTGAGCAGACAGCGTAAGAAAGCCACTATTAATTTTTCAGCTAACTCTTGGCCCAGGTCCCCATTGATGTTGGCTCTGGAGTAGATTGCAGCTGTGATGTCAACAGCTTCTAGGAAACCTCCAGCTGAGGCAACTGCACTCCTCCCTGATTACCCAGTGCTGAAGTTCACATCCGGAACATGAAAGCACAGTCAGATTCTTTGCATTTAAAATGGCCAGTATTTTTGTCTTCTGGGGTGCTTTATCCCTGGAATAAAGAGAGGTCTTTGCTTTTTCAGTTTCAAGGGCTTTAGAGATTTTGTTTCCCTTCTGACTGTTAACAGATCACTTTTTCTAGAGTTAGAATAATGTATGTGTTTTTTTTTTCCAGGTGACCAGGATATCAGTGTGGTTTCTGAATACATCTCAAAAATGAGGATAGTTTACCCAGCCATTGAAGGGCGGATCAAGTTCTCTGCAGGAAGTCATCACCAGGGAAGCTTTCCTTTAGTAATTCTTTTGTTTTGGGCAATGATCCTTGTTTTTTGCCAATAGTGGGAAGTCTCCTTGTCCTTGATGTCAAACTACATTTTTCTTCCAGTGACATTCAAATCTGCCTCTGGAGGACGTGGCTTTGTAACTGCACTCACCACCCTCAAGCCTCCTAGCTGATGCTCAGAGTGCTTCACAAGGAAGAGACTATAGCATCATTTCTCGGGGCCAGCAACTCAGTGAGCAGATAGAAAGTCAAAGTGCACCAACAGGGTCCTTCTCGGGGGTGGGAGTGGGGGTGGAGAAGAAAACAACTAGGTATGGTTTACATATCCACATAACACAATTTCTTGTCTTTGAGCCACAAAAATCATTTTTCAGTTTCTATTCATTTCTAATCCATCAGTCAACTAATGTTTACACAGAACTTTATCGTTGCCAGCTATGGTGGCACATGCCCCTAGTCATAGCACTTGGGAGGGAGAGGATAGCTGCAAATTCCAGGCCAGCCTGACCTATGTACAGTTTCTGGCCAGTCAGCTAGAAATCAAGATTCACACAAAGAAACAAACAAACGAAAAACAAAACACTATAATTTATAAGGAGGTTTTAATAGATGTGTTGTGATAAGTTAAGCAAAAAAGGTTGATTTGTTCAAGGCCCATACATGCCCAAATGATAAATCTACGACTTATACCTAAGTCTTTTGTCCTCAAATCCAATAATCTCTCCTACATCAAGTCTCTTTTCTTCTTGCCTATGGCCCTGGATGACAAATCTCTGGTTTGTTTCTACCCTCCATACTTTCTTCTGGGCTCCTGCTGTCTATCAAGTTTGAGAGACTGAATACTGGACAGAACTCTTACACCACCACCATGTGCCTTTGATGAATGATTGACAACTGTATAAAGCAGGTTATAGATTAGTTCAGGGACTGTAAAAGGCAGTCAGGAGGCAGAGAAGAAAGGGAAAGGAGGATATGACCGGGACTGATAACGTTCCAGAAAGAGAGGATGGGCATTTAGAGATGTGCTACATGAGCACTTGCTAAGGAACAGAGCTTAACTCCAAAACAGAACACTGGTTCTTGCTAACTCTTGTGAGATTCCTAAAATCCCACCTCTCTTTCTCCTTCCTTCTTCCTCATATGGAGGTGTCATGACAGAACTTTCTGAAATAAACTATAACTCTAAACCTGTACCTGTCCTTCCCAAGATGCCGATACAGCTCTCATTCTAGTCACACCATGGACATTATTGAAAAATTCAATGTTCTGGAAGGCAGGGGTGATTTTGAGAAGTGATGTACATAAATGTTTGAAGTCACTGAGTCTCAAATCCCAAGCAACTACTGACAGGTGACACTTAAATCAAGATATGAAAGGACCAACAGGACAGTGAGCCTTATGGGATGCCCAAGAGATACCCAGACCAATGAGATAATCTCTGCCCACAGAACACCTGACTAAGAAGGTCCTGTGACCAAGCGAACAAGGTCAGCACTGCATCAGTAATCAAGAAATGGGAGCCTTCACCATAACCACAAAACAGCAGCTAGATGTTGGAACAGGAAATGTATTTGTTTCCTAGTGTTTACAAATATTAAGTACTCATGACACAAAACACTTTAGGATTTCCAATCCTTTTATGGAGTTTGTTGCAGTGAAACAATTCATTCAGTTCTATGAATATATAGATTAGTTAGAAATGTCAATAAGACTGTAAAAATTAAAGGTGTATTTGATGTATATTTTTATGGTTTGCCAGTAAACAAGAAGAAATCTGATTTCAGTGTGATTTTTAAAAATATTTTATAATTTTTCTAAATAAGTGTATATCTATGTTTTATGTGGCAGGATTGAGAATGACCTTGGACTCCTTTATAATTGTAAATTCCAAATAATAAAGCTGAAGATACATCTCTTTGTCTTTCTTCTCTCAAACACTTGTTACCCCCTGCCAAGAGTATAGCAAAAACAATTTTCACCAGGATCATTTCTCTTGGTAATAAACACTTTACCATCTAGTAGCCCTTCCCTTCTCTTACTTCAAAACTGAGAAGAAAAATGCAAGCAACTTTTTGTTTGTTTTTCTCTAGATGGGGTTTCTCTGTATACCTTGGTTGTCCTGGACTTAAGCTGGCCTTAAACTCACAGCGATCCTCTTGCCTCTGTCTCCCTGAGTACTGGGATTACAGGTTTGCGCCACCAAGCCCGACTATGCACGGAATTTTTAAGCAGGAGAGGTCTTTTTTTATTTTTATTTTTTAAAGGAAGTTGGGACTTTTCTTCATCTAGCCTTGCTCAGGCTTACTCAGTGAAACTTTACAACCTCTACATAAAACACTAGAGATGGGGTTGTACAAACCTGAGATTGTAGACACGACTGCAGAATGAAGTCACAACAAACAAAGTTAGCATGGCAAACTCAGTCAGTCACCAGTGTTCTCTAGAACTACAGCCCAGGTAACAGAAGCAGCTGATTCTGCTCAGCTCTATCTTCTCTATCCTGTTTAGGAAAATCAACACCAATGCAAGGAAGTGAGAGCAGCATCACTGAGCTTATGTGGGAGCCATTGATACATTTTGAATTTTAGTTGGAAAATCAAATTACAATTGGGTGTGGCCGAAAACACCTTTAATCCCAGTACCTGGGAAACAAAGGCAGGCAGCTCTCTTCTGTGAGGTTGAGGGCAGCCCAGTCCAGGCTGTTCCAGGCCAGCCAGTTATGAGACACTGTCTCAAAACAACAACAATCTCCCCCAAAAAGAATCCCAAAATTTCCAAACTCAAATTTTAATTTAATTATTTATTAACTTTCATGTGAATACCGTTGGGGGAGTTGTACCACAGTAAACATGTGGAGCTCAGAGGCAACTTTATGGAGTTTGTTCTCATCTTCCACCTTGCTCTAGTTTCTTTTGTGAGGCTGAGATAAAGCACTCTGAAGAAGATCAACTTAGGGAGGGAAAGAGTTGTTTGGCTTTACAGTCCAGGTAAGTCTATCATTGAGGAAGGTCAGGGCATGAAAGCAGGAACCATAGAGAGACACTGCTTGCTGGCTCCCTCTCAGAGCCATGCTTAGCCCCCTTTCTTCTACAGCCCAGGGAATGGCACCCACCACAGAAGACTGTGTCCCTCTATATCAATAATCAATTCAACCCACAACACACATACCCACAGGCCAATTTCTCAGCTGAGGTTCTTCTAATTTACATAATTCCTCAGCTGAGGCTCCTGTATCAGAAGACCATAGGCTGTTATCAAGTTGACAATTAAAGGTAACTGGGATACCACACTCAGGTTGCCTTTACCTTGGCTAAGTATGAGTAAGCTAATTAACTGAGTTCTATAGCTAAAATCCATGGTGGAAGGAAAAAACGGACTGCTAAAAGGTGTCTTCCGACATTCATACACACACATGTGCCCTTTTACGTGTATGTCACACAGGCAAATAATAAAAATGAAAATTCTAAAAATAAAATATTAATTACTCTAAAATCACCATGAGCCAATAGAGTTTTCAGAAGACCACTAGTCAACGTCTTCAACTTTTAATTAACACAGAACCAGAAGATATAAAATGATTATGAGTACTTGGTATGCTTAGCAAACAGAAACGCTTGTTGTGGGTGTACATGAATGCGCAGGGGCATATGCTGTGTCCAGGAGAGGAGGACAAGTGTCTTCTGCTGTTCTCCACCTTAGTTTTGAGGCAGGGTTTCTCACAGAACCCGAAGCTTACCTTCTGGTAGGCTACACCGGCTGGCTATTGAGCTCCCAAGGTGCATCCTTCTTTGCTCCCCACTTCACTTCAATGCTGGGGACACAGGTGTATAAAGCCACAGCTGGCTTTTCATATGGGTGTTAGGGATTCAAACTCAGGTCTTTGTGCTTAGATATCAAGCACTCTTAGCCAATGATCCATCTCCTCCGTCCCCCAATCCTTTATGTAATGTCTCATTCTACCCTTCTGGTACTGGTACTCAGTCCATCTTGCTTTCCAACATTCACTTTAACATGCCAGTATCCACAGTTGTACCTCTTATATATCTGCCCTCCTTGCAAAAACTTGACCAATTTAATATGCGTACACACAGTATATAAAATCAACACCAGTCTTTGTTTTTACCTTTCTTGAGTTTTTGTTTTAATGTATGTTACTGTTTTGCACTGGGCTTTAAGTGGCATCCAAATTTTCTTGTTCAGCCTAAAACCATACTTCACATTTTTATTTCATCTAACAAAATTTGTATTATTTATGGTTTGTAAGATGATGTTTTGAAATGTGTCCCAACACTATGAAATAGCTGGGTCAAGGTAATTATCAATGCCTTCTCTGTGCTTGCTACTAATTTCTCAGTGGCTGCATTTCTCCAATAGTCCCCTTTTCTTCTCTTCCTCTGTCATCCCTCTCTGTTATTCCCTTTGTTTTCCTGATGTACCTCTTTATTGACCCAATTTTAAAATATAAAAGTATGATCCTAGGCTGAAGAGCTGCCTCACTGGCTAAGAGCACTGCTGCTCTTGCAGAGGACCCAGATTCAATCCCACCACCTACACAGAGGCCCGCAACCATATGAGACTTAGCACCATGTTCTGGCCTCTGTGAGCACCAGGCATGCATGTGGCATATGATATAAACGCTGGCAAAACACCCATAAACATGAAAACAATGAATAAAAATAAAATTATGATTATGACGATAAGGTGAGATTGGCTTACATAAGCACCTACCTATAACAGTACTTCAGCCAGAGGCATACACTGTGGTCCTATCAACACTCTTTCACTTTGGCAGTAACTACACAAAAACTAAGAGATCACCATGGGCCACATTCCTGCTTCCACATACCTTCCTGTGTACTCCATCTCAGCAGCATCTTCCTATAACAAATCTTGTCTCTACCACATCCTTTGTGCCTAGCACTGCTGGGTGACAAGTGGGAAGCACAAGAATGAGTAAGACACATCTCTGTGCTTAGGCTGTCCATAGTGGAGTAAGGAGACAGAAAGCTACATTAGATCTAAAAACAGAAATTCAAGCATCTGTCTGTCTAGCCATTATCTATTCCTGTTCCTAGATAGATACTGTACCTTTCCTGGACAACCTACTTGTAATAGGACAGCTAATAACAACCCCCTAGCCAAAGAGGCAAATATTCAACCTACTTCTGAAAACTACAGTGTCATTCAATTTTATTCAAGTTATTGCTCCACAGATATAACATTGTTATCCAAGCCAAGAGAGTGAGGCCTACAGTGACCCTTTTCACATGTACGTAAATGCGAGACAAGCTTTTCCCTGCTGTCTATACAGTGATTCCATAGTTGTATGTAACTCAACTGCCTTCCCCCACATGAAGGTACTTAAACAACAAACAACAGTAGCCATCAGGTCTGAAGTCAAAACAAAAGCCACGTGGAGACACTGCATGATTCAAGAGCCTGAAAACTCATACCAAGGTCAGCTCTACTACCACCCCTCTGTGGTTAGGTATGTAAGGATACCCTTTGTATTCTCTCTAAACAAGACTGTCAGCTTCTGTCATTTAACACCCAGAACCAAAACTGGCTCCAATTAGGAGCAAACATCAGAAAGCTTCCCTGAACACATGCTAAGTGGACTTAGGAGGTAAGAGTCAAATATGCACATTCTAGCTGTTAAATAACACCTTTCAAATCAGGGGAAATCATAGAAACTCCCTTCTCAAACTACTAAAATGAATCAGAAAAGCTGGAAAATTAACTAAATTGGTCACACAGTGCTTGAAGTTCATTTCCTTGAAGATGTAGTTTCACTGTCTTTCATTTTGCCACTTTTGTGCTACCTTTTAAATCTTGGGCTGAAGACTTCACTCAGCAGTTAAAAGCAATACTTGCTCTTACAGAGGATCAGGGTTCAATTCCCAGCACCCATATGGTCGCTCACAAGCATCTGTAATTCCAGTCCCAGGAGATTTAATGCCCTCTCCTATCTCCTCAGGCACCAGGCATGCACATGGAGCACAAACATATAAAATAAATCTAAAAAATTTTATTAATTACATCTCTTCAAATACGATGCTAGCAATAATATACATAAACAAATATAGATGTGGATACAGTATAATGTATAGAAAAAAGAGGAAAAGCTAAGCAATGGGACCAAGGAAAGATTGAAAGCAGGTAATAGAAACGAGTTACAGAAGCATATATAAAGCTAAATGATTTTCTAAGTCTAATCCTGTCAAAAATGTTTCATTTTTGGTGGTAGATGGGTGCATGGAAATATATTCAATGATGATAAATCCAACAATGATAAAATCCAACACGAAGCGCCTTAACTGCTGTTCCTAATAACCTATCCTAACTATATAAGTTCATTGAGCTATATAGTCTTTGAGTCCGGTTAATTTCCATGTGTAATTTTTTTTTTATTTGCAACATTTTTTAATAATAAAGTTTATTTAAAGAACTCTTTGGGCTGGAGAGACTGGAGAGATGGCTCAGAGGTTAAGAGCACTGGCTGTTCTTCCAAAGGTCCTAAATTCAATTCCCAGTAACCACATTGTTGCTCACAACTATCTATAATGATATCTGGTGCCCTCTTCTGGCGTGCAGAATAGTGTATAAATATTTAAATAATTTTTATTTATTTATTTTACTTTTTAAATTAAATCTTTTGAAATATGATGGCACAAGCCTATTCATCCCAGCATTCAGGAGGCTGAGGGAGGAGGATCATGAGCTCAAGGCCCACCTTGGACAACGGAGCAAGTTCTAGTCTAGCCTAGACTATATCATGAAACTGTCTCAAAGCTCAAAAAGTGAACTATCCAAATAAAGTACCTTGGCAACCTCCTTCTCACTGGTGAACCGTTGGGACTTGCTTCCACGTCCAAGATGACGCACGTCTGCATGCGCGCTGAGGCCCAAGG